GCCTGTAGCAACCCCCAGCGCCGTGGTTCAAACATTGCAAAAAATCAATCAAACCAATAGAAGTAATGGGTATCCTCTGAACTGGTTGTCATATTCGTAATCGGCATGCTCGCTTGCTCCCATGTGCCAACTCTCAGCACCATAGCTCAAACTTTGCAAAAAAGTCGATAAAATGGTAAAAGTAATGGACAATTTTGAAAATGGTTATCATATTCGTAATCAACATGTTCGCTTACCCCCCTGTGCCAACTCTCAGCGCCATAGCTCGAACTTTGCAAAAAATCGATAAAATGATAAAAGTAATTGATAATTCTAAAAACTACTATTGTATTCGTAATCAGCATGTTCGCTTACCCCCCCCCCCCTGTGCCAACCCTCAGTCCTGTAGTTCAAGATTTGCAAAAAATTGATAAAATGATAAAAGTAATTGGTAATTCTAAAAACTACTGTTGTATTCGTTAATCAGCATGTTCGCTTACCCCCCTGTGCTAACTCTCAGCCCTGTAGCTCAAACTTTGCAAAAAATCGATAAAATCGATAAAAGTAATTGGTAATTCTAAAAACTACTGTTGTATTCGTTAATCAGCATGTTCGCTTACCCCCCCCCCCCTGTGCCAACCCTCAGTCCTGTAGTTCAAGATTTGCAAAAAATTGATAAAATGATAAAAGTAATTGGTAATTCTAAAAACTACTGTTGTATTCGTTAATCAGCATGTTCGCTTACCCCCCCCCCCCTGTGCCAACCCTCAGCCCTGTAGCTCAAACTTTGCAAAAAATCGATAAAATCGATAAAAGTAATTGGTAATTCTAAAAACTACTGTTGTATTCGTTAATCAGCATGTTCGCTTACCCCCCCCCCTGTGCCAACCCTCAGTCCTGTAGTTCAAACTTTGCAAAAAATCGATAAAATCGATAAAAATAGCGGATAATTTCAAAAACTAATATTGTATTCGTAATCAGCATACTTGGTTACCCCTCTTTGCCAACTCCCAGCCCTGTAGTTCAAAATCTGCAAGTAATCGATAAATTTGATAGAAGTAGTAAACTGAAGACAGACACGATAAACACCATCGACCAGAAAAACACAATCGAGGACGTACAGACAGCATCCACCAGCGTACAAACAAGTACACCATTCGGTTCTATACATATAGAAGAATTGTTCGAATCATTTCCCCAAGTCAAGAGGAAAGGGCGGTAACATTCATTTACATTTTGCGATGATGTGGATGCGGTGTCACGAAGCAAGGCGGCCAAGAAGGAAGATAATCACAACGGATACTACCGGAGCGCTGCTGAGACTCGGAGCAGAAGCACGAAGAAAGAAGAGAGGATGGAGTAAGCGAATAAGAGTAGAATGAAGCAAAGAGAAGAATGGTAAGCCACGAGACCAACTCATACCAGGCTAATTTGAACCCACCCGGTCCGGGCGGGACCGGGGACGCGAACTAGTCTTAGATATATATGCCGCCGTATACATAAAAATATGCTTTCTATAATCTTTTTGCGTTTGTTTTGCTTATTTTCCTTCTTTATCGTTCAGCGAAAAAAAATTTTATTCCAAAAGTGAAGGTGGTCACCCCGTACCAGCTCAAAAGTGAAGGTAGGAGGAGAATCGGCTCCCACTAGGTACAATAGCTTGCAAGGTGCACGGTATTTTAGCTTTAGTCCATCTCAAACCCTGAAGCGATTGAGACAGAACGGTCTAGAACATTGCACGAAGCTTCAAAAACGTATCGCACCAAACCGTGATCACAAGGTCCCACAACAACTCTGCGATCTATAATCGACGGGCTCCGCATCCATTCTAAGCTGAGAAACAATTGATTCTGGTTAAGCCCGTTTTCAACATTTTCGTTCCCTCCAAGCTACATTCTCGGAATCAGCTGGAAGAATAAGCCGAGGTAAGCAAAACTCGAATCGACGCTTTACTGGGAAGCTGGATAGGATCTGCTTCAAAAGAATTTATCTGCGTATCAAGCAAAATTGAATTTTTGGTAAAGCGCAAATCATTATCAGACATTACACCGTAATTTCGCAATTGGGTTCAATTACAGCTTAGATTTGCAACTCTAAAACCTTTCAGCTTCCATGACATCGCAGCTGGATAGGGCTAAGCAAGAATGGCTTGAAAAAGCTCTAAAAGTGGTGTGAAGATTTTCAGTTTGAATCAAAATTAGAAATTGTGCATTGAAATCTGGTCCAATTTCTACATCATTGGAAAACACTCAAAAGAGCAATGCTGTTTATGGAAGTAGTGATTTTAAGGTTAAAATCAAAACTCTCGACAGGCTGTATTACCTGCAAAGTGTAACTTAGGGTAAACAGAAATTGTACGCAGTAAGCAGATCTCCGATTAGATAGTTAATGTCTCACACATATTGGAATTACGGAACATTCACACGTACAACTATTTAAGCCCTGCATTGCGTCAGATGTAGCCGTATCGAAGTAGTTCATCAAAACGATCGTAGCTAGGCGAATAAAACTTGGAAAACGCAATAAACGCAATCCATACTTCCGTGTAGTCAGAATTTTTTTTTTGAGATTTACAAATTTCTGTGCATCCTTCTCACTGAACTAAACAAATCTGTCTACACTCATGTTAATCATTGAATCATGTTCATTATTACTATCATTCGGGAAATCATATAGGAAAACAGTGGTCATTTTATAGCAAATTCCCTAATAGATGTCTTCGAACATCGACAGCAAAAGTGAAGAAAGGAGATCTACTCGAAGCAGGGTAGTTCGCGTTTTGGCGGAACTTCTTCCATGCTCCCATTCGTACGACAGACGAACTGCAAAGGTGAGCTGCAAAACCTTACAATTTACCTTGAAGAAATCCTTTATCAAAAATTAATGGTTTCGAAATGAATGTATGTATCGTACCAAACTCTTGCATTCATGTAAGAGTCTGGAGTAGCCTGATAAATATAAGCGCAAATCCAATTTTTCGTGAATTTAAAGGCAGTTCACCCAGAATCTAACCCCAGATCCCATTTATGCTACTAGCAGACCCTAAAAGTAGACCAACCGCTTTGGTCCGGCCCCTTAATCTTATATATAAAGCTGAATGTCTGTTTGTCTGTATGTCTGTCTGTCTGTCTGTATGTGTGTACGTATGTTCCGAATAGAAAATTCCATTTCTGAACCGATCCGGACCCGGCGGGTGTCACAGTCCACTTTTCGTTATATCGATGTCGATTTTACCGATTTTTATCGATTTTTTTGCTGAGTTCACCTACGGGGCTGGGAGTTGGCACAGGGGGGTAATCGAGCATGGGGATTCCGAATACAATATTGGTTTTCAGGATTATCGATTACTTTTATCGATTTTATCGATTTTTTTGCAAAGTTTGAGCTACGGGGCTGGGAGTTCGCACAGGGGGGTAATCGAGCATGCTGATCATCCCCAAGGGGGGTGATCAGCATGCTCGATTACACCCCTGTGCCAAATTCCAGCCCCCTAGCTCAAATTTTCAAAAAATCGATAAAATCGATAAAAGTAATGGACGATCTTGAAAACTAATATTGTATTCGTAATCTGCATGCTCGATTACCCCCCTGTGCAAACTCCCAGCCCCGTAGCTCAAACTTTGCAAAAAATCGATAAAATCGATAAAAGTAATCGATAATCCTGAAAAACCAATATTGTATTCGGAATCCCCATGCTCATTTCCCCCCCTGTGCCAACTCCTAGCCCTGTAGGTGAACTCTGCAAAAAAATCGATAAAAATCGGTAAAATCGACATCGATATAACGAAAAGTGGACTGTGACACCCGCCGGGGCCCGAAGTGTATGTGTGCCGAGTTTGGTCCGGATACGGCGGAGCCGGGTAAGCCAGCTAGTTTTGCCTATAAAAGGAAATAACGGACCGGATTCTCTTTGCGCTCCGCCCCTTTTTTGCGCTCCACCCACCCACGGATAGCCCCGTGACATGTTCTGACATGACAAGGAACGTCGAGACGCATAGTTTGTGATGTGGCACTGTTGCACATGACGGGGTTTCCCGTAGCACACGACTTGACTAGCGCCGGGGCGCTCGTCCACGTCTGCCAAATAATTAGGTTTCGGGAAGGGGCAGAAATTTTCTAGTGATTTGAACCTCATAATCCGAATCAGCGCCATGGAAAGGCCTGAAAACAATGAAAACATGGAAGACGAAATTTTGGTGCCTTCAAGAACATCATCGCAAGTTGTGAAATGTTCGCATGTAAATCTCTTCTGCGCAAAAAAAAACTAAAAAATTACTAATCGATAAATTGAACCGATATTCGTGGCGTTAAAAACAGTACAATTTTCACAGTCATCTCACCTTTTGATGACTTCTTCGGACTCAAACGTTGTCATTCACCTCCATCCATCCTGCTACCCAGATCTTACGTCTTTCGAATTCTTTTGAATCACTCGTTCAGCTATGGAATGGGCCCGGGTCATTACTGAAATGGTCTTTGAGCACCCTCCGAAGTTTTTGGACAATTATCTCGTGAAGCAGATATAGCAAGCAAAACTCTGCGCACGGTTAGCTTCACTGTTAAATCTGCTATTAAGAGAATTAGTGAAGACGCTAAAACAGCACAGACATCGTGTGAAATTATGATGCTCTCAAATTATAAACAAGGAGACGACTTTTAAAATCTGTTTCTACGATCTCGTAAACCTTCAGTCGGTAGAAGTTCTCGCAAGATTTTTGAGGAAGGAATTTCTATTCGAAATTGCTGGGAGTGATTTATTAAGCAGATTGAACAAGAGCTTAGAGCATCGCTTAAATGTCGTTGTTGTGGATCCAGGGAAAAGCACTACATATTATCCTGGTCTTTTGAATAAAGTGCGTAAAGCAATTTGGACAAGAATACCTTAATAAGCCTTTCTTGTTTACAACAGAACAAGAACTTGTCCAGTTCACAATTTCAGGGTCAGTAAGTTTTATGATTCATTACTTGATGTAAATATTTGACATTGTATATAGGATCATAGATTTGTTGTTCATGATTTTTCACTTTGCATTTCGCATTACAAATCGTTTCTCAGGTCTAAGTTTTAAATCATCCATTGCTTTTGATATTGGAAATGGTGCCGGATTCACAGGAAGAGGATGCCGGAGGGACATCTGGAAAGAAACTTTACTGAGAAAATGAAAGTTTGCTTGTTCTCATCTCACCTCTCTCACCATTCCGGTCCAGCTTTTCTTTTGTGTTGGTCCAATTCGTAATCGTCTTCCTGACGTGGGTTTCTAAACAAAAAGAGATAATTTTTCAAATACAAGAAAAAAAGTTTTGTTCGAAAATCTACTTTTGGCTTGTGTTTATAAGTTTCCTCATTATCAAAATATTCGTGCGCTTTTGCAATCCAAATTTCATCAACTGTGCTAGGTTTCGCAAATTCTTCTGAAGCGAAAGAAAAACCTTTTCATGTCCATGAATTGCTGACTAATTATCTTACCCAATTGACTTTTTCTCGAGGTTTCGATAAGACTTGGTAATCCAAACCATGTATCCGAAGAGCTGAGTGACGATGGGGGCGTAAGGGCTGCAGTGGAGGACAAAACTAAAATAATTTTGATTTTCTATAAACCAGCTCTTCCATATTCTTGTCTAAGCTCAGTTTTTACCATCGGAAGATGTTGTTTGAGGGGCTGTAGAAGATTCAGCAGTTGTGCTATTGACAGCAATTCGAAATGGTGCCGATTGGCCAGCACAGGGTGAAACTAATCTCGATTGATCATCTGCGGTCTCTTCACTTGGCGTAAAAGATGAGAAATCTGTTTCCCTAAATAAATCCTACTTCAGACGGTTCTTCAAATATCCTTTCCAAACCATTCTTCCTCTAAATTTTCGAATTTAAGAGCGAGCACTGCGGTATTGTCAGCCTGTACAGCTTCTTGCGTAGCATTTCTGTAACCATGTTTGGAAGTTTAGTTCTATCGTTTCTTGATTCTGTAACTAACCCTGCAAATCCACCGTAACTGTAGTTTACGGTATCGTTGATCAAGATTTGGCCTCTGAACAGACTATAAAAACTTCTAAGTATACATTATTTCTTTCGTACAGTCTGCCCCAATCAGGATCAGGCCGAACCGTCGGCTGAATTTGCGCGCTCGCAGCGCTAGGGGTTTGCGCTGCATACGCGCGCTGTCGCAGAGAGCGAAGAGATTAAGGAGAGAGCAGACTAGTTAGACGCAGAAGTGGCGCGAAACCCTCGCGACGCGCACTCCCGCCAAGCCAATTTTGGCCTGGTTAGGATTGGAGCAGACTGTAGTCGTCAAGAGAAGGTAAGATTGTTTTTCTCGTTATCGCCTAACTTTTATTCAATGTTTTATTCAGTACGTTTTTTGCTGCGCTTTGAGGGGCTAAAAATCTTTTGCATCTAGTGCCGCTGCAGAAATCATGTGACATATCCAGTAAGTGAATCTCATAGGTTTATCACAAAATATGTCCCATGTGGCCTAGTGGTTAGGATTCGTGGTTTTCACCCACGCGGCCCGGGTTCGATTCCCGGCATGGGAATCATTTTGCAGCCCTATCAGTGGTAAAATACTGTTATTGATACTGATGCGCTGATTTTGTTGGAAGTATGGTGAGGTGAGAGATCTAACGATCATATTTCACAAGCCCATTTCTTGGCTAAAATCTGCCTCACTTATTATCATAATTGACACTATGACGTTGTGTCAAAAAATTGTTTCTGCTTCAAAAAATTTGGCAAAGTGCTCAGTATAGGAAGATCCACATACTTTGTGTCAGTTTCAAAGCCTTCTCCAATATGTATGCTGCGAAGGTCGCTCGTTATGGAGTCACCAGATGACGATGAAGAAACTCTCTGGAATGCGAATTTATTGCGACTCATGATATAATTGTCACCTTGCGGCTCCAGAATGATTTGACTGGCTTAGCAAATTTTCAACTTCATATTCTACTATTTCTAGATTTTGAATGGCTGAGTCCAAGCATTTGCTTCATTGCTTCCAAAGGTGCTGAGAAATGGGATCCCCCCCCCCACTTTTTATCCAGCTAGGCGGCAATGACGACTTAGCGCTCTCGCCACACCCATCAAGTATCTCTCGCGTTCAAAACCGCGACATATAGGCAGTGTTATAGATTTGAAAAGCTAAAAAAAACGCAATGAACTCGCAAGCGACTACGATCAGCAGAAGATCTGAGGACAAATTCTGCTAAGCCACTATCTTCAAACATATAAACTCTTTGTTTGGAGCTGCCTGCTCCAAGGCCAACCTAGAACCCCGCCAGCGCATCGTCGATCGATCAGCAATCCACGTCGGTGCTGGCACTTCGATGGCACGATACTGGCACACGACCAACTCTGGACGCAGCCAAGGAAGGACTGGAGAAGCGTAACGTACCGCTTCTGGCAGATCGGAGCCAGCAGCTCTCCGCTCCTCGCAATTAGTCTGCCGGTTACCCATACACCGCCGTCTCAACTAGGTCATCCATGTTGCAAAGGACTGTAATTGGCTGAGGCAATAAACAGCTTATCATCTTATCGTTATCTATTTGCACTAAAATCACTTTTCCACCCTTTTCGCCTTTTTTAAAATGATTATGTTGCTCTACTGCTGCTCAGATAACTGACCGGAACTTCCGCAGAATGTTTGGGAAAGTTTCGCCGGGCTGTACCTGGTTCCGTAAACGTTTCGAAGTTCGTTAAACGTGCGCGGAAGTTCCCAAATGAGAGGCTGCAGAATTTTCGAAGAACGCGAACCACAACAACAAAAGAAAACACCTAGGCGAGATTTAAACCTTACTCTATTTGTCTTGCGGAATTTTCGGAGGATTGTCTGAGTATAACTTCAACAACGGAACAACTGACATGAACTTCTGGCAAATTGATGCAGTTATTACATTCAGCACGGTTGACTTGGAGATAGAGGGACGGAACGAAAAAGTGAAGGCAATCTTCTTGCGGAAAAATCGCATGCTTTCCCCAAAGTGTCTGTAGTCACCAAGCTCAACGGTAGACATCACTCAACATCAGATGGATAGAAGCGCTATGCTTCTGATACTGGTGTATTCATTGCAGACTCGAAATTTTGCGACAATATTTTGCTTGTAAAGGCTTCAATGTGTCCTAGTAGAGCACACAGCATGCTCGTACCCTAAAATCCCATAGATAAGAGCGGTTTAATTTACCGGTGAAAAATGAATTGGAATGAAATTGAATTGTATGCAGTCACCCCTTTAACTTGACGGATGGATAAATAAAAATCGGAGAAGAAGTTTAGAAGAAGCTCTCCGCCCCTCAACTCTAAACCCCGCCCACTTAATAAACAATTCATATAGAAATTCCGAAATTCCGTTAAAATCGCTATTTTTCTATATGAATTGTTTATTAAGTGGGCGGGGTTTAGAGTTGAGGGGCAGAGCTTCTTCTAAACTTCTTCTCCGATTTTTATTTATCCATCCATCAAGTTAGAGGGGTGAATGCATTCAATTTCAATTTCATTCCAATTCATTTTTCACTGATAAATTAAACCGCTCTTATCTATGGAATTTTCGAGTACATGTTCTTCTGTGGAATTGTGCCATACCGATTGGACACTATTATGACTCCTCATTTGCGGGTACTCTTTGATTAAACTGGCTTGGCGGCTGGAAGGCGGGGCTTTGTGACCTAATTCCGCTCGCGGCCGCGACATAGTCTGCTTCTCTTCCGCGCGCGTGCTCTTTGATCATTAGCTATCCTTAATTAGACCACGAAGAATCACGAAGACCCGCCTTCCAGCCGCCAAACCAGTTGAATCAAAGAGTACTTTCGGACCCATCTCAGGGCCGCATGTAACATCCCCGCTGGGGAGGGGATCGCAGCTTAGGCCCGTATGCAAGTACGTCCCCGCTGGGGAGGGGAGGGGAGCTGGATCCCCAGGGGAACGATCCCCTCCGCCGAACCCCGCCATGACAGAGGGGAGGGGAGCGATCCCCTCCCCTGCACCTAGGCGGGGATGGTGTGAATGGTTTCAGAGGTATTGATCGAGCGAACCCCAGTGCATACGGGGTTCGAATGGGGGAGGGGATCCCTTCCCTTCCCCCACTCGAACCCCGTATGCGCGAATTCAACTCATTAACGCGGGGGAGGGGATCGACATCCCCTGCAACGAAGTAGGGGTTCGATGGTGTAGATCATGCCAGAGACGCGGATATTCTGGTTTTGCTCAGTCATTACCAAGCATTTCGTTCATTTTGATGGAGGATTTTCATTGATAGCCGGGTTCTTCTCTTAGCGACCTGTGGCTTGCAATTTGTCTTTCTTTTCTATACTCGCCTCTTGAGAAAAAATCCGAGCAGATAGCTGCCAATTTCGATTATTTGTAGGAGTTCTTGATCATTCAGAAAATTTGCGCATTTTTCATATAACATAATAGTTTTAACTATATAGGCTGAGTAAACACATTGTAACTTTCATATTTCATGACATGTTGCCATTATCTTGTTATTTTAACATGAGCTGCCTTGAAAAAATCTAGAAAGTGGCATATTTGCCTATTTCTGAGTAGAAATCCCCTGGGGAATGATCCCCTCCCCAGCGTTCCCCTTGTGCATAGCAGGGATCGCTGCTGGGGATCAATCCCCTGGGATAAAGCACGATATGCAGCTGATAGCTACAGCGTTTATGGAGAGCTGGCACAATTTGCAGCTTCTGTTATGTGTTAGAATACTGCTTTGAGCGTCCGCGCGGCACCCCCCCCCTTTTCGGCAGCATAACGTCTTCTACCCATTCCCTTGCAGAGACACATCAACTTCTATAGTTCAACATTTTTACGCTGAAATGAGGCATGAGCGAAAGTGGGCAGCATCCAAGAAAGCAGGAACATAATGGGAGTAGAAAAAATCATTTTTAGTGCCCCGAGCGCAGTCACTGCATACGCGCATTCCGCAACCCTAAATTATTGAAAGTGAGGAGATGAAGATGAGTTGCAGTCAAAATATGAAATGAAAAAGAGTTTTCCATAGAAAATTTGAAAGCAAGGTGATTTCCCCGCTTGATCCCCTCTTGTGCATAAGGGGGTTCACTTCCCCTCCTCACAGGGGATCCCTTGTCCGATATTGTCTTTGTGCATACGGGGGTTCGCGCGGGGAGGGGAGGGGATCCCCAGCGGGGATCATTTCAATGGTTAAGCGCACATCCCCTCCCCGCGGGGATGTACGTGCATACGGGCCTTAGAAAGGCTTTATGTCCTGAAGCTACAGATATCTGGATTTCACGTTCTACCTATCCGTAACTATTCCTACTATCCTTCACTATGAACATATTGGATAGAGGATTTTTGTATGATCCCCTAGTGAGCCCCGAGGTCCGCCCGGAGGACGATCGTTCATTTCTTTTAGTTATTTTTCCTCAGAGCTAATGAAAACATTCCAAAGTTGCACTAATTATCTTACCCAACAGTGCTGAGAATAGGCTGATGAGAACAAATGAGTTTCTGAAATGTCGAAATTTCCGATCATCCCAACTTCTGACCTGTGGGGTTAATCGAAAATTTCATGACTTCAAAACATCATTTGTTCTTATCAGCAACATGCTTAGCACTGTTGGGTTAGATAAGCAATACAACTTTGAAACGTTTTCATTGACTTTGAAGAAAGAAAATTGACTTTAAAAAGTAGACATTCGTCCCCCGGGGACGACTAGGGGATCATACAAAAAGCTGGAAAATGCGGCTTATGCAGCTTCTCGCTTCTGTTTAATATGTTCATAGAGGAGGATGGTGGGGATACTTACTGATAGGTAGACAGCGCAGGATATGAAGCTTTCTTTAAAGCTGCGGTCTCCTCCCCAGCGGGGATGTTGATGCATGGGGCCTTTAGGCTCTACAGCTCAATTAGCTGCTAGCACAGGAGCGAATGTGTGAATGCACAGCAAAATGAAAACCCTGTAATCTCGAATTTCTTCATTAACTCCAATTATCTCTTAATGATGATTGGAATTATTCAATCTAGAAATTTGTGTTTACATCCAAAGGAAATCAAAATGATTATTGAATCTTATTTAACTCCAATTATCTCTATAATGTTGATTGGAATTATTCAATCTACAAATTTGATGTTTACAAGGATATCAAATTGATTCTCAAATCTTAAAATTTATCTTCAACATATTGACGACCACGCAAATTCTGAGCTGTCTGCCTTTTGGGATCAAGGCCTGTCACAGACCGTCCAACATTTTCCTAGATAAATCATGCATACCGCCATCTACATTATAGCTACAGTAGCTCTGTGAGGGTGAAAAACAGACGGAGGTTAATTACAGATAAAGCGCAAAAGAATGCTTTTGAAGTGAATTTGTCCCAGGATAGTCGCCATTTCACTAAAATTCAAATTTTGCGTCCCACGCGGCATTCATTACTTGGCTCCAATGACTTACCCAGGATTTACCAGGGGGGGGGGGCGACAAAAAAAATTTTGGATGAAGGTGTGTGGCGTCAGCCACGCGCTCCGAAAAATTTTTCGGTATGCCTTCCTAAAATTTTTGAGGGCCCATAACCCCGAAATTTCAAAAGAAGAGGCGTAGCGTCAGCCACGCCCCCAAAAAATTTTTTATAAGGCTAAAATAAATTTTTAGAAAATTTTGTGAAGTATTTTAAATATTTACAAGTACAAATAATTCACTTGCACATTTTTGTAACCTTCTCCCCCCCCCCTCGGTACGCCACTGCTTGGCACACCTTGTGTTAGATTCCCAATATCTGTTGCCGCATCCTCACCCAGTTGTACGGATGTTTCTAAATTCTGCAATAACAAGGAAGACAGATGTGCAAAAACCAGTCCCTAAATTCCGAAAGTGCAGCCTAAGTGAAGACAATTGCATGGTTCATTGATTAGCACCCAATTTCCACCTTTTTATTGATAGCAAGATTCTCAAACACAAATATATTGTGGTGGAATTTATGGAAGAATAGTTTCCAAATTCCAGGCGTAGTCAATGAAACAGAACACTGTGACTAGTATATGTCACCTCTCATCACCTTCACTTACCAGGAAAACTCCTACCCATAAATTCTCCCTATCAGTGGTAATCTCGCCTAAAGCTGTATTCTGTGACCCTCACCTTATGATCGTACCCAATCCTAGACTCATTTTGTGACCTTTACGTTAGCGTCGCGTATCTTCCACCTGATAAGCACCGGCTTCATCACAAACACTCGGCCATTCGGCTGTCGTCAGTCGGTGTTTTTACCCACACTGCCCCTACTTACTACTGTATTGAGACAGTACTGGGTTTTCCCAGTTTTGCTGCGAAGCCAAAATGAAAATTGAACATAAGGTAAATTATCTGATTGATATAATAACCTAATTCAATAATATTGGTCATTTAGTGATAAATTTTGCGCATCTGAGAGAAAAAACTGGAAATCATTCTTTGACAACATTGACATGACCTTTGTGTCACATTAGCTGGGCTGTCTGCACAAAAACAACTTTTTTCTTGTCGACGTTGTTTTCAGAAAGTCTATAGTTCGACTAACCTCACAGCTACGTGTCTCAGCGCTATCACCGAGATTCTCATACTATACAAAGTTTTGGAAAATTTTGAAGTTAGAGCGGTTTGCGCACCTTCACTAAAAGTTGAGCGGAAAGTAAATATTTATCTCTAAATTTCTTTAGAGTAATTTTCAAAAGCCCAGAGGCTATGTGAAAGAACAAATCGCCAACGGGATAAGTTTTACCGCAATCAAAATACGTTAATGATTTTGGAAAGTGTCTAAACCGGAAACGTTTGTTCTTTCACTCGCTCGCGCATTTTCATTTCCACAAGAGTCTAAAGATGAAGAACTAATTATTTTCTCTCGTTCATCTTTCTTTGAAATCTACATTTAGAACAAAAAATCACTTGTAACATCTGTAATCGAAAATACGTTCTGATTCTGATTCCAGATAGCATGTTTCTTCATCGTGTTTGGGTCGGTCTACTTTTTGGAATCCATTGGAGGATTCTACATGACCAGGTAATAGCAATTTTCGACATATTGTCATTAGAAATTGGCTTCTTTTTTCTCTATTAACAATAGGATTTTGCTCGAAAAGTTCTGTATCAAAAGTGCATAAAAGTATTGCTTGTTGAACCTATGAAGTAATGGGGAAACATTCCAACTAAATTTTTTGATCTGTGGTTTTTCTCTGGATGAAAATGTTTGATCGATTTTTCCTTCTTCCGACTATGCTTTGATATAAATGAAGTTTTGCTGATCAAAATTTCAAATAGAGCGTAAACCCAAAAAAACTCCATCAAAACCTTAAACCTTCTTTTTCAGTGCTGTTGTGTTCATAGAAAAACAGTTTCAAATACCGTCGCGACTTAGTGGTACAATGGTATCGGCTGGAGATTTCGCTTATATTCCTGTAGTTGTTTTCACTAGTTATTTTGGAGGAAAGGTAAGTTCTGGCGATATTGCATTACATTTTCAAGGTTTTCTGAAAACGGTGAACTGCTAAAACTCAGGCTAATTTTGATTTATTCTTCCGTGGCTCTAGATTGAGATGTACGCATTTTTTGGATCAATTTTCATATGTCTTCTTTGAAGTTCAATCCATTTTTCTCCTTTAAAGTCAAGGTCAAGTCAATGAAAGCTCCAGCGATCAACCTGGTTATGCTCGAGAAAAAATCACAAACAGACAATTTTCTCAAAATTACCAGAACACAGTATCAATTACATCTTATTTCACTTTTCCTTTTGAAATTTCTTGTTGTTGCCCCTAAATGATAAGAGTGCCTCTTTAGTATTTCATTCCTCTGCAATTCGTTCTATACTTTATCTTTCTCCAACAATTCCGCACAACCATGTCCAAACATTTTCTTTAGCATTTCTCGGCAACCAATCTCAATCTCTGTACATCTCATTAATTAGTCTCTTGACAGTTGACATACTTTTACTGTCTTTCCGGTTCTATTACGGAAATGTGTCCGCCAACTATGCGTTTTTCGAATTATTGATATGACAGTAAGACATCAGAGTTAGTGGCCATCAAAAACTTACTCGCGTTTTCTACTGAACAAAGCATGCGAGGCAGTTTTGTTTGCATAGCGGCTAGAAGCGATTAGCGAAATAATAACACCGCTCTTGGTGGTGATAATAAGGCGCAATCGCTCTGCATGCAGCGAATCTAGAGAAAAATCGGGCAAAGATTACAACTTTCACAAATAGGAAATCGAACATTCCATAAAATGCCATAAGTTCCCCAATTTGAATTCCAGGGCAATCGAGCTCGATGGATTGGCGGCGGATGCATGTTGATAGCCATCGCTAATTTATTAATCAGTTCTTCGAATTTTCTCTTCCCAGTGGAGGAGTTACACGTGAATAGCAGTTATATTTCGAGTTCACTCGCTTATGAAGTCAACAGGTAGGCCTTATCAGTTGCCGCCACTATTTTTTCAAAGGATTAAGTCTAACAAATGTTACTTTCGTTTTGAGCCTTGTCATGTGTTCAAGTCACGTGGCAGCTTTATTTGTTGCTCGGCCAATATCTTTTTGAGCTTTTTTTCCCACCCAAATTATTTTTGCTAATAAAAATGTCATTAGATATAGGGACCAGTGGCGGAAGCAGCCCCTCAACCCCGTGATTGGGTCACAAAATTTTTAAATTTGGTTCACAAGGGTAAAAATGTGTGAGCGACTCGCTATTATTTCTAAATAATAGATAATTTTCTTCAAAAAGTTCCAAAATTTCAAAGCCCGTAATAAAGGTTTCTGGGGACGTGGTCGTTTTAGTTTTCCTTCCTTTACTTTCAAAACGTTTCAAAAATATTTTTGGAGAGGGCGGAGAAATTTTTTGTTGCGTCCTTGCCACATGGAAAGATTTTTTATTGCTCCTTCCTTCCTTTTCGGAAAGCCACTGTTAATTACATGATAACTATAAGCAAAAGAAGCAAATGTCTGATTTTTCAGACAAATAAGCAAAGGTATAACTTTAATTCTATTCGGATTGCACATTTCAGCTCAGCCTCGTTCCACTTTTTCATTTGCTTCTAAGCGTCGTGATACATCTTGTAAAAAAATGTAGAAAAATCCCGCATGAGCAAAAATATGCGAGGCCGTTGCTTTTCAACTCACAGAATCACATATTCTTTCATATTTAACCTTCCGCGCCAATTTTTCTTTACCGCAAAATTGCATCATTGGGCCATGAAGCTGTAAAAAATCGATCATACTGCAATGCCCCACATAATCTATGTTTGCTCATTTGTACACTTCGCAAAATCTTCAGCAATTAGGACAAATGTACTGAGTGTCGATAAGCTATCAAAGTGGCCTTATTATCTAGTTTCTGGAAGGAAGCAGAATACATGGAAACATTACTGCGATACGTCAAAATAAGTCCGTCCTTAAAAATCATTGCTTCTTTCTCATGAATTAATCACAGAAATATATTGAGAAAACGGCAAATTTTATAAAGTCTTTCAGAGTGTGATAGGATTAACCTTTAGAGTCTCCGTTTTTGGACAATTTTGCTGTTCACATGTGCTTTTGCAATCTGATCCCAATCTCTCCATTGTTGTTTTGAGCTGTCAGCTATAACCAGGTTTTCAGATTTGTGTTGAACACTTCCTCGGATCCAAAATGGTTTTCACGAACCTTGAAGGAGGTTGACCCTAATGGTACTGCTCTCAGTACACATGTGAGTCATATTATACCTATTACCTATTATATTCTGGGAGCCCGTGTGATATTCATTTATTTGACTTTTGCAGGTTGGCCCTTATCACAGCGAGAGCGAAGACTTCATCAAATACCAATCATTTTGCTTTTATAACCCCGATTCAGAGATATGCAGCAGGATGGAGGTAAGGAATCGCTTAAGACACAAATTCCGTGAAAAATTACTGTTTTTTTTTCAGGATCGAGTCTCGAAGGAGCACGCGGTCAACGAGAGGGACGTCTCTGCCGTTCGGTTGCTTACGTCATTACCATACTCGTTCTGTCATAATCTTATCAACAAGCTGAGGCAGGAAGTAGGTTTGGAAGGTTATAAATCATTAAAATGGGGCAAACATTCCCGTTACGAACAAGGAAATCATAAGGTTTATCAGATAGATCCTTTCTGTGGCCATTCTTTGAATTAAAGCATTAAAGTGACTAAAAATAGGTCAATACATACGCCCTGCACAAAAAAATTATAGAAAATTCGTTCTAAGGTGTGTAGTTGAAAAACCGAGTAGTAGGTTTTGAAGCAAATCATTTATCTCCTGTAACATTTATTGAAACTCGTGCCTTATCATGAATATCAGAATTTTTTTTGATGAAAGCAAAAGTTGAATAAATAACTCGAAAATCGTAACTATTCGTAGAGTCGGATCGAATTTCTTTCAAACAGAAGAAAACGAGTCATACCAAAAGAAAAGTAAAATCGGAATTTAGTAGAGATTTCATCGATTTTAGCGGCGAATTATCAAAAACCTTTTCGTATGCTTCTTTTTACCAGCTTATAACATTGCGCTATAACCATGATATATTTCGTTAGGAGTACTTTTGAAAAGTGCAATTCTCTATTGATTGTGTTACAAATAAGGTCATTCAAGCTGGGATAGATTATGCAGATTTTTGGTGGGAGACTTACGTATCAACTCTTTATATCTGTTTACGAGATTTTGTAAATGTGCTTATCAGCGTATCCATGACTCCTACACTCACGAATGACCTAGATGTCTGAACCCAGAACAAGACGATAATTAGCGAAAACAACTGTCACATTGATAGCGCATCTATAATGACAAACAAGACACTTGTCAGTGGTGAAATGCATTCGGTAAATTTCAGCACAAAGCAGACGAATGCAAAAAAGAGACGTCCAGTTTGGGCCCGTTTGCAATGATTTTCGGAGGATTGATGCTTCTTGGCGTGGGAAGGTAAATTTTTGATCTTTACCACTGCTACTATATAATTTCAAGATGTGGAAGACAAGATTCGAGAGCGAATGTTAGAAAAACAACTAAAAGTGAAATCAAATTAGTATTCTAATTTTATAGAGGCATAGAGCTCGACATTCTTCTGCGAAGAACTCATAGTAGTTAGACTTGGAAAACTCAAAAATTCCCTAACAGTTAGTTCAAAAAATTGCAAAAAACCAGAAGATTTCAAGCATTTATTAAATATAAAATGTTATGGTAAGCGGTGGTCCTTTTTCAGTAGATTAAGCGAATATTGCGAAAATTCAAAAAATAATCAAAAATTCTTATTGTAGGGTCAGGGTTGAGCCTCGGGTCAGGCGCGCCCGACCTGGGGGGGGGGGGGGGAGGGTCGAATGGGGGATGAGTGGGGAGGGGGTAATCAAGACTTGTTCACAAAATGGAGGGGATGCTACGATTGAATGAGGTAAAGAAAAAGAGCGCGAGACAAGTGAATATCATTCCACCGGAGAGGGAATGACTGTCGTTGATTGCATCTTGGTTAACTCCACTGACGCAGTTTCTGCCAACGGTAACTGCCAACGGTCACCAAAGAGGCTTGCGTGTGAAGTGGGTAAGATTTCCGTAATCAGCACGCCAAGTTACCTATACGAGCTCTACAAACCATCACCTATCCTTTGTAGTGTATCTGTCTTTTGTATCTTTTTAACTATGTAGTGTTTCCTAACGCTAGGCAGCGTGATTTTCAAGCATGATTAACTTGGTCACAAAAGTAAAAGAAGTCTGCTTTCTTGTGCTCAAAACGAAGTAATACTCTTAGTCAGTCTAAGGTAGAAGTTGGATCTCTTATCGCTTTCAAAAAGTGGATCAAGAAACGCTGCCAATATCTCAAACACCGCGTTTTCCATCTTGAGTGCTTCAACTCCACCGATCATCACAAAGCCGGAACAAGACCAAGCAAGCTCAAACACCTAGTGTAGAATCTTCGAGGTTTGTGCTAGCGAACCACATAAAACTAGGATGGAAAAGATTCTTCGGTGATAAAGTTAACACGTTGACGACAGTGCCGCGCAATGGTGCGCGGCAGGCAGTCTGTCCCTGTGGACGACGCCGCGCAATGGTGCGCGGCGGCCTTAAATTCAATACTATCTGTACAGTCCTCTCAGTTTTTGTTCATATGATCAACATAGGCTCAGATATACTTCATGTATTACCTCCGCCCCTTTTGGCAAACTCCGCCCACTCCTATGCCTCCCACAAGAGCCATTTTTGTTTATAAAAAGCATGGATGTGGCCGTAAATGAACGCAAAGACCTCAAACAACTTTCAGCCAGGCCCCGCACACCTTCAGGCAAGCTCCGCCCCATAAGTGGCAAGCTCCGCCCCTGAGTTGCGCCCCGCCCACTTTTGAAAAGTGCCGGAATTTGCACGAATTCATTGATTTTGAGCAATTTCCAGCATTTTTGAAAAGTGGGCGGGGCTTGACAAAAGTGGGCGGGGTTTGACAAAAGTGAGCGGAGCCGCCCAGCCCACCCGCATTTTTGTATCTCACGCATAGATGCATGCATACATACATGCAGCCAGCTGTGAAAGTGCCGGGAAACGGTTCGTCCACAGGGACAGACCTTCAAAAAATGGCTCGTCGTCAACGTGTTAACCGGGTCAGGCGCAGCCCCTCAAAAGCTCAGGCCGCCCGAGCTTTTGTAGCCTTGCGCCTGACCCCCTTAACTTGCCTTCAATATCCAGAAGTCGCTCCATTCCTGTTATGAATATTGAGATCATAGCTTCTTCTTTCTACAGTGAAAATTTGGAGCCAAACATCCCAGCCTCAAAGAAATTATGATCCTTGCAATAAACCCACTCAGATCAAAATTAACCGTCAAGCTACGTGTGGCTGGAAAGTGCAATCACAAAAAATCGGGCGTACAGAAAAATTCAAAAACTCTTTAGGAAAGGATGGTTCCTCCAGAATGTCGCTCATAGAGGTTCCGGAGGTGAAAATGGGGGGGGGGGGTCGTTTTCAAAAGACTTGTGCCTGACCTCTTGCTCAACCCTGCTTATAGTTGTGAGCAAAAGAAAAAATGCTCTATTTCATTACTATCAATCCTTTAGGACAATGCCATTTTCACTAGGCTTACCTCTTATGGACGATAATGTCAAAAAGAACAATCTTCCTGTATATTTTGGTAAGCACTACGTCAAAATCTTATCTACTAATCAAAATAAAATTCGTTCGTTCCAGCTTGCATGTTCTTTGTGAAGATTCTCGGTCCTGTGATTGGTCTACTAGTGGGGAGCAAGCTCAACGAGATCTATTATACATTTGATCGTAAGCTTTCAACATTGACGTGACTGAAAAAAATGGTAACATGGTATTATTTTCAGCCCCACAAGGCCTCACTCCCCTAGATCCAATGTGGATCGGTTGTTGGTGGCTAGGATTTCTTATTTTTGGGTGGGAATCATATCCTATTGAGTTTTCAGAGGAAAACCGTTATATTCAGAGCTCTTCTGTTTTTCCCATCACTCGCGCTCTTTCTTTTCCCTTCGGATAAGCTAGATGAGGGCGAGATCACAGAAGCTATCACGCGCGAAAAATCTAAACTCGGAGATGATTCAGCGTGGGAATTTTTTTTACTGTTTTTTTTGCTATTTCATTCCAATGAAAGAATGTAGAATTAAATTTCAGACCCATCAAACCAAAAAAGAGGCTAAATCTCCGTGACAAGCATGTAAAAGTGCATGAAGATCACGTTACATCTATGGAAAAAGTCACAGGTAATCTAGCTTCATTTTGGCTGATCTTCTTCTCGTAAAAGTTCTTTTTATCTAGAATTCTTCGGTGTTGTTCGTGGCCTTTTTCGGAATCCCATCTATGTTGGTGCCATGTTAGGAAGGATCGTCGATGTATTGGCTTTCAAAGGGTATGGAAACCTCTTCTTTTCTCGTTTGCTTGGCAAAATGATCTAATCCAGATTTTTCGTGTTCCTCGGGAAATACTTAGAAATTCAATTCGGAGTCCCACAATTTAGGATACAAAAATATTTAGGTAAGTTGATGGGTTATTTTCATCCTATTTGAACTATGTGACCAAAATGACTGACCCGCATTTCAGCCACAACTGGTGTCGTAGGCTTTGCAATAGGTGTCATCATAGGAAGTTTCTGCATGAGGAAGTTCCGATTACAAGGTAAGCTTTTCTTTTTTTCATCACTTATTATTGGTCTTCGAAATGAAATTCCAATAATTTCAGAATGAATTGCATGAGAGCGAAAATACAATCGTTTGAAAATAAATATTCTCAACGTAACCTGATAATAGCTTTCTTCGAATTTAAGTAATCACTTGACCGATCTTCAACTTTTAGTTGTTATAAAAACCCTTTATATTATAAAAGTATCAAAAAGATGCTACTTGTCGCTGGTCTGTGAAAGGCTGATTTTTCGATCCCACATATCCTCTCTGCATTCCTTATGTCAAAGAAGGAGAAAAGACTTTCCTACATCCTTTGAAACTGTGCGTTCTTATTTCCGCACAGACAACAATTACAGTAAACATAAAGTTAAAGCCGCCAAAAAAAAATTCGGAAAAAAGAGCTCTGCTGGTGCAGCTTAAAGCAGGATGTACCTAGACTTTATATTTCGTTTATAAACCCCAAAAAATTATGATAGCGAAAAATAATCCAGAGAAGAATGATCTTCTGTTTTCCCAAACAACAGTGCATATTTTAACAGTTCCTTTTACATTAAGTTAATTCAACACAGGTAGAAAAGCAGCGGGATGGGTCGCTTTCTGTTCACTTGTGTCTGCCGCAGTCTCATTTTTGAATGCCTCTGTTGGATGCAAATCTGTCATTGGCGAGATTGGAGACCAAGGAGTGTAAGTTTCTTCAACTTTGCAAATTAAGTTCGATTGACTTCAAGTTGGAGTGTTTAGAGCAAATAACTTTTCGTTCCCATCATGTCGACCGGACTGCTTATGCGAAGGAATGCCTTTTTATCCAGTGTGCAATAACAAGTAAGAAACTTCTGAATAATTCCAAAAAGAAGAAAATTAGGCAGCAGTTTAAAATATTTCTTTAGGGGTGACATTTTTTACTCTCCCTGTCAAGCCGGCTGCCCTTTGAGCGGAGCAAATTTCACTATTTTCAGCAAGGTAGTCTAATAAATTAGAATAATCTATATTCTTGTAATGCCAAAAGCAAACATTTCAGATGGAGAAAGGCACACCTTTGGTGTTTACAGAATGTGAATGCGCCGGTAGCGATAACTTTGCTGTCAGCAGGGACTACTGTCCTGTTGGTAAATTTTGCTTTTTATCATTCAGGCTTCTCAAGCTGATCTTCTGTACGAGAGAATCTTAGAAAATTATCACCGGTTTTAATATAGAGATTTTTTTCAAAAGCATAACTATCTCGTTATTGAAGTTGTCACAATTTGAGCAAAAATAGTCCCAAAATACTTCATATGAAAAAATTCTCGCAATAGTTTTGATACAGAAATTACTGTTCAGAGCATTGTAACAGCCAATTTAACACATTCTTCTTCAATCAAGCGCTTGGTGCTGTGTTTGGAGGATTATCAGTAGTACCAGGAATGTTGATTGTGCTAAGGTAAACTTGTATAGCCATCACTGAACCTTGAAAAGTAAGAGAATTTTCTAGATCTGTACCTCCGGAGCATCGTAGCATCTCATTGGGTTTCAATGGATTCCTCGTCAGCTTGTTAGGTGAGTTTGCAATTCTTCAAACGATATGGAGTTATAGAGATCAGAATTATGAAGAAAATATAGTTACTGGTATAGAGACTTACAAAAAAAAATTCACTACGTGTAGCAAGCTAATAAAACGCTCAGAGAGGATTTCTTATGCTCGGTATCTACACAAAATAATTTTAAAACGGATGGATTTGGGTTAGACAGTAGCCAGTTTAGAATGCTTCATATGGAAAGTTTATTGATACGACTCATGGTCAATTGTTCTTCATATGTGATTTTTTTTTCGAAGAACTTTTGCTAACACTTGGATACCACTCCACATTTTTATCATAACGCTAATGACGAAAAATTCTGATAGATGACAGTTTATGTGACGTTTATTTCAGCCACCTTACCATCGCCTGTGTTTTGGGGCAAAATATTTGATATGAGCTGTTTGATGTGGCAGAATTTATGCAGTAAGACTGGAGCGTGTCCTATCTATAACACTGATGAATTACGGATACGGTGGGTACATTGTCGCAATCCACGTTGTTCGCTATACTCCAAGCTTCTCCAGAATTCATCTCATCTATGGTGGTTTACGAGTGCTGTCATTACTCTCTGACATTTGGGTGGTGTATTGGGCCAAAGGACTCAAACTAGTGGACGAGGAAGAGGAAAAGAAGAAAGAAGACGGAAGCGTCCGAGAACTCGAGCTGCTGAACAGAGAGGAGCATGTGAACCCCAAATTTGATGTTCCCAATGATGAAAAGATTCTGAAGGACTGATTTATGATGTGCTGAATTCCCCAAAGCGGGTACCTTGCTTAATAGAGATGTAATTAATTAACAGATTCATGAAGATTCACTAGACTTTCTGATGATTGCTCGATCCAAATATTTCCTTTACGTTGATAGTGAATGAATATGTCACAAATTTGCTACATATGTATGTTACCCATGTGATTGAGAGTGTCTTTAAATTTTTATACGTTTAAGTCAGGTTGTTTGTCTAAGTTTACGTATCTAGTCTCATCCCAATGAAAAGTTTTGCGTAGTTTCTACGCAGCGAATTATACAACTCCGCCATTGTTTCCAAGTCATCAAGTCTGTGAGAAAAAAAAATCATTCCTTCTCTGTTTTTCTTTTACTTTTTATTTATTTGAAGCGATGCACGAGTGCTAGGTCTAACTCAGATTTGGAAGTACAATGCATGAGCTCTGTTGCTCGTATAGACATGGAAAAGCTTCTGATCTCTCAAGTCTTCATGCCTTAGTTTTTGAGCGAAGTCAGATGGCTTGCTTTGGAACTTATGCTCAGGGATCGGCACAGGTGGCTCGGAAAGCAAGCTGGATATCGTTTTTGGGACAGAAAGCAAAGGGGGTTTCGTTTTTGTGGCCGAAAAGACACAAAATTTGCGACGTTTTTTTGGTCCACATTTCGTTTTTTTGGAGATTTTTTAGGATTATGGTTTAGGGTCAAAGGGGTTTTCGTAATGTTAAGAAGGTCAAGGAGGACTTCGTTTTTTGCATTTTCCAAAAGCCACCTCGTGTCAAGCCCTGCATATGCTTCTCGGTTTACAGCTAGACACATTTACATAGGAAATTTGTACTTTCTGATTTTTCCGCTATTTGAGCTCCCTAATCTTTGATCCCCTTGAAAAAGCTGCAAAGTGAATTCAGATTGACATCGAACAAAAGGCGAGTTTTTGCTAGTCATCAGTCACAGCCTTTGAAATGAAATTCCTGTAATTTTGTACGTTTTTTGGTGTCTGAAGATTTCCGGTTACTATGTAGCGCATGCAAACACTTTGAAATTTTCTAGATTTTTTATAAGCCGAACAACAAGGAAATATTTTGCCAATAAACATTTAGGTTCATCTTTGAATACTAACAGAAAATTCATCCTAAATTTAGAAGAATGAGGATTGAAGTATACATAATGGATATAGTCGTTCTCATCCTAGTCGCACCTGATGGAGATTTTGGGTTCTGGATGTTTGCGGTCGAGCACGGCATACCCAATCCCAGTGTCATTTCCCATGAACGGTGCCGTGCTCCACCGCAACATTCTTGCTCTAATTCAAACCAGCCATTGGAGGTCTAAGCGATGAAAAAGCTATTGATTAGTTTGTCGATATTTTTTGGTGGAATGATTGAGGTTGCATACTCTTGTGCATCCAAGTTCCCATGTCTGCAGAATGTTTTCTTTTTGCGGTTTGGTTTGGGTCAGACCCATTGGTCAGCTTTGAGGAAGCGCCTTACGAACCGGGCGACAACGATGCGAAAAACTCGTACCGCCGCCATTGCCCCGCTGGCTGTTCTCCAGCACCTCCGCTCTGAGAATGGATAGGTCTCATCATTCCCAACGCTCTCTCGCAGTTCGATAGCGCGGCGACAGTTGCGTCGTACGAGTGACTGCTGCGACTAGCACCTTTGACACGCTAAAATTACAAAAATGAGAATTTTCTAAGGATAGGTGCGGCTAATTTTGAGCAAAATTTTGGATTTCAATGTTTTGAATTTTTCCATGAATGTTCTAACTGCGTAATGCTCGTATTGTAAAAACTGCTGTGTATTTGCAGACGTTACATATTAATTCCTCTCACTTTTCAAAAGTCGTTGATATCACAAAATTAAGAAGTGTTAGCAGATATAGCTTCTACTATGCAGCAAACATGAAAATTGAAAAAAATTAATAACTTATGAACAATTTAACACTGCATTTTTCATGTAATATTTTTGCTTTGTTCCGTGAATATGTTTAGAATGTTAGGTGAAGCTGGAATGTCAAATTTCAAATATCTATGAAGAGGATCCATCGATTTGGGAGGACAGTTGAATGTCCGACGGAAAATACAAAATAAATTATAGACAAATGAGATGAATACATATATTAGGTTGGCTCGAAAGTTCTGGGACATTTTCGAACTAGATGTGCTATTTCTCGAAACTTAACGCATACGCATCAGGTAGAGGCACCACTCGATAGAGCAAAGCAAGCTCTACAAGATGGTATGCAAAAGTTCGCACCAGCTTCGACCCACCGTAAGTTTGCACCCAAACTGAGTCGTACTAAAATTCAAAAAATCGCGAAAAATTCATATCTTTGTTCAAACAAATCCTACGGATCTCCAACTTGCTCACAAAAATTGCGCACTACATCAACACTCATATGCACATTGCTATATTTTTTTCTCATCTAGAAATCGAGAAAATAAAAATTTTCTTGTTTTCACAAAAACGAAGCTATGCTATTCCCACTCATGTAATTATATAGTACAAGCCCTTAGTAGTATGATCGTAATTTTTCAGCTTTCTACAGGCTCTAGTTTCCGAAAATTACCGAATTGAGCTCTCCTCACTCGGGCGTTCCATGCTAAAATCAATTTTTTCGACAACTAGGGCTTACGGAAAGCTGAAAAATTACGGTTATACTTATAAGGGCTTGTACTATATAATTACATGAGTGAGAACAGCACAGCTTCGTTTTTGTGAAAACAAGAAAATTTTTATTTTCTCGATTTCTAGATGAGGAAAAGACACAGCAACGGTGCATATGAGTGTTTGATGTAGTGTGCAATTTTTGTGAGCAAGTTGGAGATCCGTAGGATTTGTTTGAACAAAGATATGAATTTTTCGCGATTTTTTGAATCTTACAAGGAAATGATCAGAAGTCGAAGTGGCCAATCCAAACAAGCTATATACCATTCGATGCAGCATAGAACGCTAATTTCAAATCTGCCTTCCTTATCTGCAGAGCGCCTTTGTAGGCGAAGTTATGAGCAGCTTTACTGCGAAAAAACCGTATACAAAAATTGCGAAATGAGGCACATTATTGCTGTTTCAGCTCACATCTAGGTACGGGTCATATAAACTGACCTAGTTGCATGTTTTGGTCCTACACTGAGCCGAGAATGGCTTTGTACGACCAAGTTTGCATTTTACGTGCACAATTTCTTAGCAAGATGATGGCCTTCAACGGCTTATAATTTCGTCCACAAAAGCGCTCTGCAGATAAGGAAGACAGATTTAGAGTCAGCATTTTATACTGCATTCAATGGTATGCAGCTTGTATGGATTGGCCACTTCGACTTCTGACCATTTCCTTGTTAGTACGACTCAGATTTTGGGTGCAAACTTACGGTGGGTCGAAGCTGGTGCGAACTTTTGCATGCCATCTTGTAGAGCTTGCTTTGCTCTATCGAATGGTGCCTCTACCTGATGCGTATGCGTAAGTTACGAGAAATAGCAGATCTAGTTCGAAAATGTCCTAGAACTTTCAAGCCAACCTAATAGAATGAATCAAAAAAGTAGACAAAGTAAAGAGACAAAAAATGAAATAAAATCTGGCTTGGGCTTAAAGAAATCGTCGTCCAAACCAGCAACTGACGATAAAAGGAACCATTGGACCTGCTCAAGAGATAAATGTAAATGCTTACCTAAAGCACTTTTTCAATTCTAAGGATGCGAGAATACTCGGTTGACGCAATAATGATAACCGTTTCGTGAACCCTCATTTTGACGTGCTATAACATTCCGAATGATTTATTTTTCTGAATGCGACAAAAACCACCACAAGCAACAAACGTCTGCAATACAGCACACCATCTATACTCACATCGCACATGGGCAGAGAAATATGGATAGGTAAACAAAATTTTTTTTTCTGAAACTTGTCTTCAACAAGTCATAACTCTCTTCATAGTTTCTTACCATAGATGATAAGTAGCCTGTTTTGTAGCCGAAAGCCAGTACTACAAGAGACTATAAGAGGGGTTAGGACAAAAAAATCTGCGAAAAAAATTGAAATCCAAAATTGTCAGTTTTTTCAACATTTTTTCAGTAGGGCTAGTCCCGAATAATAGATTCTGACTTCTGCGTAATAAACAGCTGAATGTTCTTGGAGAATTTGGCAACATGATCCCCTACCTTACGCTTACAGGAATGAGCAAAGCTTGCGATTGCGTTCGTCAAAAGAAATTAATAATTCATACAATGACTACCCATGCTGAGACGCCGACACGTCAGTCTAGATAATTTCAAAGCAATTAATCAAGTGTGTATTATGTAGACAATTTCTTTTACATAAAGCAGCTAAATTTTTGAAGGCGCCGCTCATTTGCGCTTAAGTTCTGACCAGAAAAGTGAATGCAATAAAATTCTGATTCTGGATGCCTCCATTCAAAGCTCTGCTGTTATTTAACGAATGAGGCTAGAATACCGCTCAACCATCATTAGATAGAGCATAAAAGGCTATTTGTGTATCAATCTAATGACATATCACAAATGTTTGCTTAATATTGAATAGATAGCATTCCAAACCCATGGTGGTACATTTCACCGATGGAGGGAAAAGCTCATATCAAATCACATTTTACAAAAGCCCCTTGTATCATAGTTTTACATAAATATAGAGCCTCTGCGGCGTGCACACAAGGCCCTTTCGATTGAGATTACTTTTGCTTTACTTCTGCTTTCCGGTTCCTCTTTAATACGCTCTGTAGAAATGGGAGAGGGAGAGCATACCATTACGTTTCATCTTTGTCACTTCGCAATTTCCAGTGTGACCAAGTGAGTGCAAGCCCCGATTCTTTGTGAAACTTTCCTGATTTAAGTGATGTTGAACGGAAAAGTCTGTAAGGCTCGCTTTCATCCGATATAATGAGGTGTCCCTGTAGATGTTGTATAAGGTATCTGGTAAGTTTCTGACCTCAAGTACTTCAAATTTAGTTTCGGAGGCGCATGTGTTCCAGAAAACTAGAGAACATAAAACCGACAAAAAGGGGTTTTTTCTCTAGGGTTTCTTTGATTTCCATTCAGGTTGGAACATAATCAAACCATTTTTTCACGCTTTTTTCTTGAAATGCTGATTACAAAGGGAAAACCATTTGCAAAAAATTCTGCACACCACCTGAGAACCCGTCCTCTAATTCTTATGTGTGCTTTTGTTTCTGTACAATCGAATTTATTTTGAAGCAGCTTGTCTTGGAAAACAAAAGCTTTACTTACGAATTTTTTTCATGGATAAATCCAGTTCCAGATCTTGAAATTTTTCCTTGACGACTTCGGAATAATGCAAAATCTCTAAAACGTGCACACTGATAATGGCAAGTGAGTTGTGCTACAATTGCACATTGAAACAATACTTCCAAAAGTTTGTGGCGGACTAGAAAACTAAGGTAAGCTTGCGCGATCGTTTGCCATCCTTCTGCGCCGTAGATAACTTTGATGGCAAGCTGTCACAGAACTTTTGTTGTATAGGGCGGGTGTAGACTTAGGACATTTGGTAGCGGGAAAACGTGTCCTGTAAATGAATTAACGCACTACCCTACTCTTCAAGAAAACCAAAAAAAAAGCGGTCCCCCCCCCAATTTCCCAACTCTTCCAGCAAATTGGTGTATGTAAAATGTGTAGAACCTATTTACTGTATAGCTGCTTATTCTTGGTAACTGATATTTATGGTAGTGAACGAGGTAACGGCCGGCAGTTAATGTCTGAGTGGTACTTAAAGACAGTGTCCGGGCCATACCCTCGATACATAGAGTCACGTACTCTGGTAACCTTCACTTCGAGGGCTATGAGAGGACACAATCTTCACCTGGAAAAAAACAGAAGTCATCCGGGGCTTCGCCCCGGATGTTATTATCCTGAATATTTCGGAACGAATGCTAATGAAGCTAATTTAGGGAATAATCTTTCATAGGGAATAATCTTAAGCTTGTCTCGGCGAACCGAGAAATTGCTTTTCATAGCCTTTTTTACGTTAAAAAGGTTTCTGTGGAATTTTCGCCAGAATTCAAGACAAAATTTCTCAGTTAACCTCTCATTTCAGAATGATATACAGGGTGTCCCAAAATAATGTGCGCACTGTTTGATTGTGAATAACTCTCTTGTAATGAAGTGTTTCGAGAAACTTTAGGTACCATTCTGTAGAGCGAGGCTCAACTTAGATTTACATTGTAGAGCGAATCGCCGATCGCTCATTCTTACTGTAGGATTACAGTAGAAACTTCAAACATATGGTGTCACTATGAAAAAAAAGCGGCCTTTTAAAAATTTTCAAAAAAAAATGTGGAAACTTGTGTAATAGGGTTTTCATGGACAAGGAATTCAATACCCAACTCTTTACGAGGCTGCGATGCTTTCTAAACGGTGTAACCGCACTTTTTAGGAACATTGAAAAAATGGCCGCTATTGCTTACCTCGCATAATTTTTTAATGAAGCATTAAGAAAAATTGCGAACTTCACATTTAGAATTAGCAACTCTAATTAGCCCAGGTCAGAGTTTTCGGGTTGTTTTGATTCCTTTTTGGAGCAAAATATAGCCTTTCATGGCTCAAAACCCTCTTCAAAGTTTCTACCGTAATCCTACAGTAAGAATGAGCGATCGGCGATTCGCTCTACACTGTAAATCTAAGCTGAACCTAGCTCTACAAAATGGTACCTAAAGCTTCTCGAAACACTTCATCACAAGAGAATTATTTACAATCAAACAGTGTGCACATTTTTTTGGGACACCCTGTATAATGTTGCAGGGTTTCGTTGGGACCCCGCGGAGATCTACGACCAGAGCCAAATGCCCCGTCGGCTCTGGTCTGTCTCCGCTGCTCGTCTGCGTCTCCACGCGCTGCGCGCTACTTCGCTACCCCAAACCGGGGCGCGGGGCATTTGGCTCTGGTACCCTTTTTTTCGCTGTTTCGAACCCAATTTTTGCAAGCTATACATCATTTTGAAGCTTTTGATCTCTGATTTTCACGCTGACGACGTCCCAGAACCGCAATTTTTGATTTTATCGAGAAATCCGGCAAAAACCCTGTTTTCAAAAGTTTCTTGTTTTTCTCCTAGTTTAACTCTTTTTACGCGGATTTTTCGTGCATTCTATAGATCTTGCTTCTATTCATAATGTAGACAACTACCCAGCCCTTACCTCTTCGATTATGGTGGAATTTTATGCGAAAAATCGTAAAAAGTGCGTTTTTCTTTACCTTGTTCTGTTTTAGTGCTTCCGCATCGATCTTTTTCCAGCTTGGCGACTGTTGCTCAGAAGAATAAGCGCAAAAATCCAGACAACGTCCCAAGAAACAGGAACGTCAATGCTGGGGTAAAAATTCAAATGACGCATCAAAATCAGAACCCCGTGTTGCGAATTGCTGGTGGAACGAAAACTTGCGCTTTGAAAAGCCGCCAAATGAAAGATTTCAAACCTCATTGCAGCGTTTTTATCCGGTTTCAGCAGTTTCTTTTGCTTTTTATATCTGTTTTACGTCATTTTCTCTTCTCTGATCTTCCTTAAACAACCATCACTATTTATGACGTCAGATGTAAGAACAATCTTCTTTTTTGACGCCCTGTCTCTAGACTATCGAAGGTGTGGTCAGGGCAAAAAGTCGATTTGAGATTTTGTGCTTAAATGGGCCTATTCGCTATGCTGAATCCGAAACACACTTGTGAGCGGAAAAACGGCGAAAAAGGGCTCTAACACAGGAGGAAAACCAGCAGGTGGGCGGGGTCCTCCACACCGCGAGTTCACATTCTCAGCTTCTGGAGCGATCTCCTGGTCCCAATTTCAAGTTACGAATTAGCACTTGGCCGGTGGCGATGTCAGGAAGGCTTGCGGAAGATCGCCCCGGATGAGAGCGTGATCCACAGTGGGGAGGACCCACTCACTTCTGATTTCCCTCCTGTGTTAGAGTCCTTTTTCGCCGTTCTCGCGCTTTTTAGTGTGGATTTCGGATCAGCTTAGCGAATAGACCCGGCTAAGCACATAATCTCAAAATCTACTTTTTGCCCTGACACTGCCTTTAACGACTCTTGACGTCTGGCAGTTAACGTCTACTTGTTACTTAAAAACTTTTAACCGACTAATAATTATCTTCGAAGTGGTAGTTGACGATTCTAGCTCCACGTGGCATTCGTTTGCATGCCGTAATCCAAGCAATGCAAAAGTTTTTTTCAAAATTGATTCTCAGCGGCCATTGTAGCATGCCCACCGCCGTCCATGGTTCTTTCCCTTTTCTCGGACTCTCGCGCCTGCCGGCGGCCGGGCCATCGTTTTGAACAGGGATGAATGTCGGCTGACGACAGGGAGAGTGAATCAGCCGGCTGGCGGCCTCTCCACAGTGCAAAAGTGCGGCGAGTGCACACCAGTTTTGTCTCCCGTATATGAAAATGACGCGACATGCTGAACTTTTCCCAAGCAAGCCATGCTATTTCAACATTACTCAGGCGAGTTTTCATTTAGCTTTCTTGCACCGTTCTTAATATTTTCCAGTTCCTTCCTCCTTCTTTGACGTTGTGTTTCGTCCTTTCGTAAAATCGCTTAATTTACACATATTTTTGGATTTCATTTCAACAATGTCTGGAGCACGACGAAGAGAAGTTGGCATATATGGAATTGAGTCTGCTCATATATACTTGCGGCGGATCTAGTTTTCAAGAAACTTGTTTTTTCAAGAGCTGAAGAAAGGATGCGCCAGCGGCAGCTGGGCTTCGAGCGTACACAACGTCCTCAAGAAGTCGCTGCTCAAGGAGGTAACTTCGCCTACGTAAGTGTATCAAACAGGACCATAGTGGCATGATTTTATTCCTTTGTTTTTTCCAACGTGAGCACTTTTAGGTCCGGTTGAAGTCGAAAGCGCTGATGGCCACAGGAGCCGAATATGCGTCGGCGGTCAAGGATCCTCCCCGCTCTTCGGACATTTTAAGGTTGGGCAAAAATTTCACACTTTTTTCTGGCCTAGGTGTAACAGTTAATTCGTCGAAGAACTGAATGGCTGCGGAAGTGATGAAGCACGTTGGGGGAATTCAGCTTAAGAGAGGCGGTTTTACAAACCAGCGATATTCAAGGCCCTATATATCGCATTCTAAGATGGTTGTACCAGCGTTTTAGGACTATTATACACTTCATTTCAACTCGATATAAGTCAATATCTTTACGTTATGACGCAGAGCGGTTCATTCTTAGCGATGTCAGTTTTCATTCATTTACTATCTTGGTGAAAGGTTGTGCATTTCCAGCGCAATGGTAAGAGTTCGCGTCTCGGACTTTGATGAAGCTAGAGCGAGAGACGAGGACCTGTCATCAGGAGATCACGACAGCAGAGAATAAAGCAGGAAGAAGTTCGCAAATAAGGCCTCGAATGGCTTTGTAAGGCCACCGTGTTCATTTGTATAATCTTGTACATATTGTTTCTCGTCAAGGTCTTTGCCATTTTTCTTGTGCAATTCGCGCTTTTAGGCTTAGTTGAATGTGAAAAAATGTAATTATCTTATAACTTTAATTCGTTTAAGTAGTGCGCGCACGAATCGTGCTAGTCTTTCCATCTCGTTTAGCAAAATTTCTTTCCGTTATTACAAGACACTTGAAAATTTAGGAAGCGCGTTCACATGTGCTTCATAAAATAATGATGCTCATGTATTTTCATCACCGCTACTATTGCAATCACGCCCGAAGTTTCGGTTTCTTTCTCTTTTCTTTGAGGACTTTTGACGCTGTTGCTTTGCCTTGCTTTGCTCTCAAATGTTTTTTGTATGCTGAGGGTTTTTTGTATACTAAATTACAAAATCCCTACAAAGCTCTCCATGTTTTTGAAAATCCAGCTTTGAATCTGGACTCTTTACGTGATTCCATCATTGATTTCACTTCACTTAGGGCGTCTCTCTCTTTGTATGTGATGTGCATATTTTTTCTGCTTTCTATGACCACTCCCTATGTATAAAAAGTTTGTCTTCACATTACTTTTCATTCTCAAGAAATAAGTGCAACTTTCTTTGCTATTTACGGGAGATATAGCCTATTACACATCATACGCGTTTTTTTTGATGATGTGTATTATAATTGCCAATAAAACTTAGTGTGGATGTTCAAATTGTCAACAAGCTATTGAAGTGAATGCAATGAATAGAATAGCTGATACCACTGGAGCAATGATGCGCTTTAGCAACGATTTCGTGTGAATTTCCTTCAATACCGGCTGGCGGCGATCTATATGGTGCTCCATTGTCAATTTGTTGCTCGCTTTCACCATGTGCCGGCTGGCGGCTGGCTGGCGACGCGCGGCCGCCGGCCGACGCGTGTCTGATGCTCTTGTGGTGTTCTGTTCCTGAAATATTTACGGACTTCCCTCGTGCACCCTCTCCTACTACCTCTGTACCCTATATTTCTGAAGTTCGACCACGCTTGAACCAAAATCACCACAGTAAGATGCAAGTCAACAAAGGCTGTCGTTAACCGCAAAGCTATGCGATGGTATTTAGTACTTCGGACATATTTCATGCACAGGAAGTCATGAGAGGTAGGTGTCTCTAATGTTCTCCTTTTCGAATGAGTCTTATTACGGAAAAGATATTACGTCTTTGAGAATGAAGACCTTTGTAAAGCTTTCAAAATGTAGTTGACAAAAAAAGCACCATGAAGAAAACGCGTAAAAAGGAATTGCGGAGCTGAATTCATGAAACTCACTGACCCCATCTGTGCGCTATGTATCAACGCCCAGATCGTGTGTTTGTTTGTGATCTGGTCGTTATATACGACCTGATAGAAGTGATCTGCCAAGGCGCACGCGATGTAGCAATATGTGCGCCGCATCGCGTAAAAACACGATTTGCGATGGTCGTGTGTGCCAAGAACGCGAGCTGGCGCACATCGAGAACGCGTGCTGGCGCGTGAGCGCAAGCTGATGCCGTAAGCTCATCTTGCCTTTTTTCTGTGCTGGAAACTAAGGTCAGCGATCTGTTAGCGAAGATGCACGTGATTGGAAGTAGCGCTTTCCTATAGCTCGGTCTCTTCTGTATCTAACTTAATGAGGAACACATTTGGGCATACTATAGAGCCAAGAGATAGTTTTTCTATGCTAAGTTCACCAAGTGGCCTTCTTGTCTTTGTGATTCAAACCTCATCTCTTGAAAAACACTTTTCTCACGTCTTCTATTGGAGTGATTTCGCCTGAAGAAGGAAACCCTATCGTTTAATAGATACGTAAGCTATGCAAGCTTGGGACTTGCCTACCCACTCTTTACGTCGCGTACCATTCTCTATAGTTTGGAAATTCGGTTCAGCACCTCAATCCTTTGTGTATAAGCATTAACAAACTTAAAATGACAACGGGATTGTAGCTGCCTATGCTGTGCAAAATTTCATATCCACAACCTCAGTTATGATGCAAGACAGCCTTCGCTGCAAACTCACTTGAGTTTCTCTTTAGCACTAGCAAAGATCGGCAAAAACACTTTTCTTGTATTCACTTATGGGATATTACGAGTTTGCGGTAGTGTTAGGTAAATGGCGTCACTGGTGGCTGAAACTCGGGGCAACGATATGCATGCTCGCTCGGTAACTTCATGCCTACCTTGTCACTGAGGGCGTACTGCGATTCTCTAAATGATGGAAAAAAATCGTCATCATAGGCTTTCTCCTCTCTTTTTTGTAGGCAAACTCCAAATTCGATGGTGAACCAATAGAGCTGAATTCAATTCATTTGGTAAAGAAAGAACTACTAGCAAAATTGTTTGAGCTGAACGGCAAGATCTTTAGACAGATGGAGGACAGAAAACTATACAAGTATCGTCAGTATTGCAAAAGATGCGCGAGTAGGGGAACGAACTCCGCCAGTTTCAACCGCCTCCGCGGACTACTGTTCCTGCAATGACATGCAGCAATATTGCCATAGGACCAGTTGCCAGCGAAGGCGAGCTCAAACTGGCGGAGTTCGTACCCCGTACCAAAATGCGCGATAGCTCACGTTTGATGTACAGGATATTCTCTTTCTCCTTCTTTTCTTTTGTCCTGTACACTGAATGGGTAAATATGAATTAGAATGGGCAATTTCAAAGTTTATTTGGCTAGAAGAATTTCTAAGGCCGAGTCACTAGTAAGGTGGACAGTTGCCGCACGTAGCGTTTAGGCTGATCAAGTTAACACGTTTCGGACCGGTGCTGCACATGGTGCAGCACGCTGTTTTGAGGGATCTTTCTGGCGTTTACAGGAGGTTTCCTTTTAGTCCAAAGTTGTTAAGTCAAAGGTCTAAGCTCCTACTTTTCAAATGACTCTGTAGAGCTGTGCCGCGCATATTTGTTTAGGAGATATGAGCACAAATCGAACAACAGTTGCAACGAAGTGCGGCGACGCGAACGACGCGTGCGACGTCGCAACTTTCCTTTGCTTTGATTCCAAAGAGAAAAACCGTAGTTTCAATACTGGTGTGTGCCGTGTACAACATAGATACTTTTGAATACTATTAGAATCTGAGTTCTTGTTCCTATCTTTCAAAAAAGCACAAAAGTCCTTCTCAAGCGACAAAATTCAAACGCTTCGAATTCACTCAGAACTTTGGATATGGAGCTTATCTGACATGCTGATTACAAATGTGGCCCACAGGCTGCGAAATAAGGTCCCTTTATAGGTTAACGGATGAAAGTACACTCTTTTTCGCCGCGCGCGATTTCGCGGTCCGAAACGTGTTAAAAATGAACTGCACACGTAGTTAACAAATTAGAGTGGCTACCGAGGGGGGGGGGGGGTATTTTTGAAAACTTACATGGGTCATAAAACTGTGCAAAAGACTTTATACTTGTAAGTAACTAAAATAATTTTTAAAAATTCAATTTAGCCTTATAAAAAAATTTTTTGGGAGCGTGGCTGACGCCACGTCCCCTTTTTCTGAAATTTTTGGGGTTGTGGGCGCGCAAAAATTTTGGGAAGCGTACCAAAAAACTTTTCTGGGCGTGGCTAACGCCACGCACCTTCACTGAAAATTTTTTTGTCGCGCCCGCCCCCCCCCCCCCGAAATCTTGGGTACGCCACTGATATAGAGTCTTGTATTATCGTCGCTACTGTTGCGGTTACCATTTTATCATTTCATAAATGTTTTGATCAAAATGTAAGAGTATCAACTGCTGATAAAAGTGCACATACTGCAGTAGTATCGTCAGCCAGCTCAAGGCGAAAACTCAACATTTGAGTAGAACACATGCTGTAATCACACCGGATTTGAAGCTAAGAAGATGAAGAAAAAGGAAAATTGTATGTCGCACGCAAACTAAACATTTGCGCAGAGAGAGGAGAATGGCTCAGATGGTTCTCTGCCATTTTAGATTAAACTAATCAGAAATTAGATGTAAAAAGGAGTGATGAGATTAACCTTAGGCTTCGGCCATAAATTACCGCTTTTTTGTTTGGTGGGATAATCGATAACAAGCTCATCTCTACATACGTATTCTTACCAACTGGTAAATAAATGCAGTGACAGCTGTAAGGGTAAAAACAGGAGGAAAGCGGTGATGTACAATACCGCTCATAATTCGTCAAAAAAGTCGCCGGAGTGCGGCGCACTCCGCCACACTTCGCCGCACTCTAGCGCACTCCGCCGCAGTCCGCCACACTCCGACGCACTCCGGCGCACTGCGCCACACTCCGCCACACTCCGACGCACTCTAGCGCACTCCGCCGCAGTCCGGCGACTTTTTTGACGAATTATGAGCGGTATTGTACGGCCGGAGCCTTACAAAGCAGGACAACAGTAGTAGAGCCACCGAGTTTGTGATGTTTGCAAGCAAACATGCACGCGTGTATAAGAAGCAATTCTCTAATAAAACAAAGGGTGCGCATGACTTTTTACTAGGAAGGGGATTGAACAGTAGGTGCAGCATGCTACACCATAACATAAATAAAAGAAAAACAAAAGGCTAAAACTATGTTATGAACTGACCTTGGTAAATCGCTAGTTTTCTAATAGACGCTTCGATAATCGAATGCGTGACGGGTCTCCCTTCACACTGTGTTCGGACGGATTGTACCTCTGCAGAGAGGAACACTGCTTGCGAACATGAAAGCACGAGTGCTTGTGGAGGATTGGCTCAAATTTATTGAAGGAGGAAACACATGCAATCGCGATTATGACGATTAAAACAATTTTGGTGGCAAGATATGACAGAGAAATTACTAGATTTACTGTCGAAAAAAGGCATGTGAAAACAATGGCCGTGACTGAGCACAGCGCGTCTTCTCGTGTCATATGAACAGCGATCTCGACAGATAGCGTGCTGCTACGCAATCTTGTGCCAAGATCGTGCGCTTGATACATTGCGAGCTGTGCTCGCACAGATCGTGTGCATGTTTCCAACGTTAGCGAGCACACAAGATTCACGAACGTGTGAATGATACATAACGCCCCTGATTATGTGAGAGGGTCAATCAGCTGGAATTTTCGAAGCAGGGATAGGCATGTGCGGCTCGCTGGTCGACTAACCACATTGCGAACAGGCGACAACTCAGATACTTTAATTTTTCAACAATCTAAATTTTTTGAGAATTTAGCTACGTTTAATTCATCTAAAAGCAAGTATTTTGCAGAGGACAAGTTGCATGGAACGAAGGAAAAGCAAGAATGGCGGGCATCTTGCGGTAAGCGTAGTATTAATTCCCTCTTCAGAAGCCGAGTTTTTCCGCTTTATCGGTACCTATTCTCTCGAATTCATTCAAAGCAGTTCATGTCAGCACGAGAATTCATTGCTCTAAATCAATGAGCCCTCTCGCTGCTCTAAAGAAAGGCAGGTTTCTGCCCTGACGAAGCGTTCACATGATTTCAACAACTCCTGCGACGCTTATTTGAAAAATAAATTTATGGAATATGTTTCCTTTCAAAAAAGCTTACTTCAACAGATTGATAATGAGCCTGAGAATGTGCTGAAAGCAGTGGATGATGTGTACGAACCCCATTATGATGTGCTGGCCGATGTATCTACAAGTTCTGACCGAAGAAGTGATCAAGATCTAGTCCATAATCGGGGAATTTTTTGCAAACAAGGGAAGAGCGCGCTGATTATCGATGTGTTCATGCAGGGGAAAGAAAGCTTACAAAAAGAACGTGTGTTGTAGATGCAAATCTAAGGCGAATGAAGCAGAGCGTAAACAAAAGAAATTGTAAGCGATCCGAGAGCTTTGCCGCAAAGGAGGAGAGGAAAAATAGGGACTGCAAAGTGATTTAGAACTTTGAGCAAAGTTGAAGAGGCTCCGATGCAATGGCACCATTTTCGGAAACAAGACAACGATTTTCTAGTAGAATTCGAATTCCTGGAACTGACCTTAAACATGTAACTTAGTAAACCCTTTTTTCTGTTGCAAGACGGACTATCGGGACCATCCGGTATAAGAAGTGGTTTCAAAGTTCATCTTCGCTCCCCGTAGCCCCTTCAGACATGGTGGGAAAAAGACTAATTTGTTGGGGCTTGGAAAAGTTTTGTGCGTAAAACAGCTGCAGAAGGCTGATGCTATAAGCTGGGCTCATGTGCAATGTCCACCCATCTACGGAGGACTGACTACAAATGGGTTTGTATAAAGAAGCGCTGGCAATTGGATTTTTTGAGAATACAAATCTTGCAATAGATGCTATAATAATATCAACGCTGTGTGCTAACACCATAGCTAATGAGAGTAGTTTTCCATTAACTTCGCGATTTCCGCTAATGTTGTTCACTAAAAGCGCCGCATTTGGCACACTCATACGAAGCCACCAGCGCGAACCGAATGGTAAATTCCCCGTAAACGTATCGCTACGACTCTAAGGACCAAAGATACGTATCTCAGCTTATAGCTCGGGCGCTTTGATAAATATCCCATGAGATAAGCTGTGCCTTAAACAACTGAGGGCTTTTTTAGCTCGTAAAATCTTCCAAAAACATCCGGTTCTCTTATGCGAAAAGATTCAGAAAGCTTAACGTATCGGTACGACTCTAATTACTAAAGATACGTATCTCAGCTTATAGCTCGGGCGCTTTGATAAATATCCCTTGAAATCAGCAGTACATTTAACAACAGAGGGCTTTTTTAGCCCGTAAAATCTTCCAAAAACATCCGGTTCTCTTATGCGAAAAGATTCAGGAAGCTTAACGTATCGCTACGACTCTAAGGACTAAAGATACGTATCTCAGCATCTATAGCTATAGCTCGGGCGCTTTGATAGATATCCCTTGAAATAAGCTGTGCATTAAACAACAGAGGGCTTTTTTAGCTCGTAAAATCTTCCAGAAACATCAATTCTCCTATGCGAAAAGATTGCATATTAATACGATTCAAGAAGACTTTGGTAATGTTTTTTTTCCATATTGATGGACGGATCATCTTCCTCGCAAGGTACAAAGTGGATGGTTTATATGATCCGCTTATCAACATCCTCGCACGAGTCGTGCACTTTTCATCTCCTGCTTGCCGAAGTGGTGCGAGAAACGAGTGAAAGCATTACAAATCTCGCTCTCACCTACGAAAACGACTAGGAGTGGTTGGAAACTCCTTGCCCTGCCTCGCCGTTGCATGACTGCATGAAGAGACCGGTCGCTATTTCTAGGAATGGAGCAAACGTAAAAATCTTCAATCGTAAAATGTAAAAATCTAAGAATCTTTCAAAAATGGATACGAAATCAGATTTTTTTGCAAACTCATGAGTTTGCTGTCATTATACATGTGCAGGCCATCAGTGGCTGGTTGGCTTTGCGGGACTGCTGATGTGATTCAAGCGGTGTACGAAACTTTCTCCTTCAAAATTGATTCTCAGAGGCCACTCCTACGGCGCTGCCACTGCCTGCATGGACGTCGGTGTGAGCATGGATGTCCTCCTTCTGCTCTTGTGGTATCCTGTTTCTGGAGTTTCTACTCCTCCCTCTCGCGCACCTCCTCCTACTCCATGCGTACCCTATATCTCGGAAGTGTCGAACATCACGTTCGGAAACTCAAGAGCATTACAGTATGTATGCAAGTCAATGAAGGCTGTTGTGCCAACCGCAAAGCTATGCAAGAAATGGAATTCAGTGACTACGGACTTATTATCATGCACACGAAATCACGAGCGGTGGGTGGCTCAGCTGTTCCCTCATTCTAAATGAGTTTCATTTACGAAAGGAAACTCTTACGAGTTTGAGATTAGGACTTTTGTAAAATTTTCAAAATGTAATTGGCCCAAGAAGCACCACGAAGAGAATGCGAAAAAAGGTGGTCGGCGGGTTGCTGATTCATTTTGAGCTTTTTTTGTTGTCGGATGACCTGCAACCCTTGCTCCTTCACTGATCCCATCTGATTATGGGAGAAGCTATCAACTGGGATATGAACGAAGCAGAGATAGGGATCAAGTGTGGCTCGCTGATCAACTGGCCACATTGCGAACAGGAAGCACCTCAGGTAATATAGTTTTTTCACCATCTAGATTTGTTTGAGGATTGCTTTCAGGGGCAGGGTCGTCTGGACCAATTTCTGGTGAAACAGTCGCCCACCTCAGTCGTAATTTCAATTGCAAGCGAGAAAGAGCTATTGCAAGGTCAAACAGTTTACCTTCTCGTAAAATTCAACCATGACAAGAGGAAGGAGGAAGCAGATTACCTTTCCCGAGAATTTAGCTACGTTCAGTTCGATGCTAAAAGAAACAAGTATTTTGCAGCAGACAAGTTGCATATAACGAAGGAAAAGCAAGAATGGCTAGCATCTCGAGCTAAGGACGTAGTAGTGATTACTCCCTCCTTGGATGAAGCTGAGGTACTTCCACTTTATCGCCTGAAAAATCTGTTCTCTCATTTTCCAAAAACAGCTCATGTCTTCCCACAAGGATTTACTGATCTGAAAAGTGATGAGTCCATCTCTCGCTGCTCGGAAGAAGAGCAGGTTTTTGCCGTGATGAAACGTTCGCCTGGTTTTGACAACCTCTGTGACACCGACATCGTTTATTTGGAAAAGACATCTATAGAAGATGTTTGCTATCAAGAGGATATACTTCAGCAGATTGATAATGAGCCCGAAAGTGTGCCGATGGAATTAGATGGTGTATACGAACCCCAGCTTATGGATATTGATGCCGATGTACCTACGACTTCTGACGGAAGAGGTAATCACGGTTTAGTACATTATTGTCGGGAAATTATTCGCAAACAAGAAAGGAGTCAGCTGACTATCGACAGGCTTCTGCAGGGAGAAGAAAGCCTACAAAAGCCTGTGTTGTAGATGCAAATGTCAGGCACGTGAAGCAGAAAGTAGACAAACAAAATGCGTAAGGAGACTGAAAACTTTGCCGCAGAGACAGTGAGGAGGAAATACGGAATGCAAAGAGATCCAGAACTGCGAATGAAGTTGAAGAAACTCAGAAGCGTATTTTGGCGACAAGACACTGGATTTTTTTTTTTGAAGGATTCGATTGTTAGAGCTAACCTTAGACAACTCTTACTCAAAAAACTCCTTTTTCCGTTGTGAAATGTGCAATCGGGACCATCCGATAAGGGATGTGGTTTCTACGTTCATATGTTGCTCTTCGCTAGCACTAATTTGTTGGGACTTGCGAAAGTTTTATGCGTAAATCAGTTACAGAAGGCTGATGGTAGAAGCTGGGCTTATGCGGCTTATGCAATATCTCGAGCTGTGTGCGAACTCACCAATCTACGAAAGAGCACCTACTATCTATGGAATCATATAAGGAAGCATTGGCAATTGGACGTGTTGGAAATGCTGGTGCTGCTGCACGTGCTACAATAATATCAATCATGTCTGCTTACACCATAGCCAAGGAAGGTCTCCCACTATCTTCGCAGTTTCCGCTATTGATGTTCGCACTAATAAGCGGCGCGCCTGTGGGCACTACTCATTACGAAGCCACCAGCGCGAAACGAATGATAAGCAATTTCGCCACGCATATGGAATACGAGTTATGGAAATATTTGATTGAAAATAATCTTCCTTTCTCCATATTGATGGACGGATCATCTTCCTCGCAAGGTACAAAGTGGATGGCTTATATGATCCGCTCATCAACATCCTCGCAGGAGCCGTGCACTTTCATCTCCTGCTTGCCGAAGTGATACGAGAAACGAGTGAGGGCATTACAAATCTCACTCTCACCTACGAAAACGACTAGGAGTGGTTGGAAACTACTTGCCCTGCCCTGCAAAACTTTAAATCTTCTGCATTGCTTCTGTCCACATTTCAAAATTACTAAGCCACTATTCTAAGCCGCTCCTGTTATATTCTAACTTTTGCTGTTATTCTATTATTCTGCAAAATCACTATTCACTATTGCTATTCACTATTGCTATCACATTCTCATCAGGAATTCCTCTGCTGTTCTACTTTTAATATTCTCCGTGGAATTATGCTATACGCCACTACGCATTCTCATTTTTCTCATGTGGAATATCGCAATTACTCGAACGGCTAATGTCGCAGAAGCCTTTTATAGATGAGCGTACACTGTTCAACAGTGCAACACTGAAATTAGCAGAAAGGGGTGCATATTAGGGTGGGCTCATACTCCGGAAGTCTCGGAACAGTTCCAACGCTTGGGATTGGCAAAAACAGCTGGGCATTACGCCGGAACGACTCAGAACACGACGAAGACCACCCGTGGAAGATCAAGATATACCGCTGGATCACACACCACCGAGCGCAGATGCCGATGGAGATGCACCGAGCTAGGAGGTAGTTCCGGTCTTTCATACAATTCGAACATTGGTAGCATCGAGCCAAATACATCATTGAGGTTTTTATGGGACGAAGACTACCGGATGTGAAACATCTGGGTACTGAAAAATTTGCCCAAACCTCACAAGGCTCGAGCCTGGCGATGGAGCGATAAGCTCGTGCGGTGTAGGTATCAATCCCGCACCCCAACCGCTAACGTGTATGGGAGACCGTTACCTCTCTGCTTTGACCTGGCGCGACAGTACGACACTGAATATAATCTGCCTTGTGCCCCTATCGTATTCACTACCCGTGCTGCAACTAGCGCACTGCACTACGCAGGACAAGTGTGCTGTAGATGTTGATTAGGCAATAAATTACTACTTATCAAGTTTGAGCAAGTTATAGAAAGAGTGCTTAGAGCTTTAGCAACAAGGCATGCTACTGATGCTTAGAAAGATGCACCAGTCCCCCCCCCCCCGACTACGATATATATAAAAATGAACTTATAGACGACGCGAAGTTTTGAGTATCAGAGCGTACCATGAGGAAGCGATCGTATTCTGAGTGGTTACTCCAAGGGATGAGGAAGATTGAGGCGGAGTGGCAAGCTGAGGGTAGAAAAGGCGACCATATCACTCAAACAGTATGTTCAGACCCTATAACACAAACTCAGGAGCATCCGGAGTCAATTGGATGTGTAAAAACCTATTGATACCTTTTTGCATCCGTCCCATGCCCACTTAGATCTGGCGGTCCAAGTGGGCATGTCAATGAACGGATTAGAAAAAGGTATCAATTGGAAGAGCTAAGTTGCCATTATTCCTGTGTGGCTCATGTGCCCTAAAAGAGGAACAAGCCAGGCTGGTGATAACAACACCAATGAATTCCTGTATGAAACAATGTTACACGCTCCACGTATGCGGTAAGTGTTCAAGCCTTCGATCAACAATCTCATCCGACCATGTCGATCATGGCCAAAAAACCCGACACTATGGTATGTGTCGCGGCTCGCGATCGACCGCTCCTCGCAGCATGTGGCCGGGAGCACCGGTATTGCCGCGCAGTTCGGTCGTGAGCACGGTCGCCGCGCTTTATGGCGGCTACCTTGTTCGCTTCCGGACCACTACGTAGGCACGCCCCTAGCCACCGCTATAAATAGCGCGTACGCGCACTATCGCGGCTCTTTCTTCTCTTTCATCTTACTACTACTGTTGTGCCGCTTCTGTTATCGATTGGTTGGGTTTCCACGATATCGCCGTTGTGTCTACGTCCCCGTGCCTTGCGCGATAGTATGGATCGTCGATGGAATGTTTGGATGGACGCGCAAGGATAGAATTCTAGGACGATGGACATCATAAGGCGCCTTGACGCGTAGGACTTGTTGCGATCTTGGTTGATGTTGGTTAACATCATGGGGTTGTGTCGCCGCGCCGTCGCTGCTGCCTTGGTGGCATGCGCGGCCGGCCTATGGGTAGCTCCCTTGGAAGCGGGAGAGTGTGAGAGTGTGCTAGTGCGAGAGAGTGAGAGTGAGTGAGTGGCCCATTCGGTAGCCCGGGTAGAGCTTAACTCTCACCGTGGTAAGTATTTACGTTTATTTTTATATTGTGTGTTTTCGTATATTTTAGTTTAGTAAATTTATATGTATTCTTGTTTGTATGTTTTGGGTAAGCGTAACGCGCCATGGGCTGGCGCCACCCGCGACAGCGGAAGTCCTTTGGGGATGGGAGCTGAAGTGCAAGGCAGTCGAGCGCTAGGCGAACGGGCGTAGAGCCCACCGAGCCGCAACAGTATGTGTCCATACACGCCAAGTCCTTTGACGATTAAATACCGCGAAGGTTTGTGGAGGAGGTTGTTTCGATAGTTGGGGGTGCGCGTGTCAGCGTCGTGAGGATTTATCTGAAGAGGAGATACGAGGGCTGAGCCAGCTACGGGTACAGCTGTTCGATGAGCGCTCAGATACCAGGGGGTTGGTGGCGGTCGGAATTGAGCTCGCTCATTGGCTCAGTGGCTAGCGAACTTTTGGGCAGGTTTGTGGCGACCCGTGTAGATTATTCGATGGGCCGTTTTGAGGGACGATGTGATCAGCATGAGCAGCAAGGACCCACAGATGGATCAGGCTATGCGACTTCGGGTTAGTAACAAAAGACATTATTGAGCGAGCACATGGGTGAATTCTTGCAAAGGGCTTTTGGCCGTATAACTCGTAGATGGATTTCGGATTCTCCCACAAGCAGTTGCTTTACGCGAACCATTGGATTGAACAGATACAGTTCGCCACCGCCCAGTCCTTGGCAACTGCGTGGTTCGTGGCAAGCAGGTTGCCTGCACAGTGGCTAGGGCCTGGATGTTGAATCAGGCCGCTGGCGACCTCGCACGGTGGGCGAGAACCCCAAATTGGATGAAGGCTAGGTTTTTCGAACTGTTGAGGACAGACTCAGGTTTTGGGAGGTTAGGAACTATGGATACACATACAACCAGAGATCAAATACCCACATATTTTGAAAGGAAGGACACGACCTATCACGGCACTGGATATGCGGCCTGTTTAGCATGGGGTCCCCAGAGCTTCAAAATTCCATCGTCACGGGAAGTATTTCAGTTCAAGTACATATCGCACCTTACTAGACCGAACCTCCTTTGACGGCTTACAAACCTATCAGGTGGCCAGACGGAGTGAATGAGACCCAAGTGCTTTACGACTTACTGAAACACGGTGTCTTTACTTTTCCGGGACAGATGCGCAACGTGATTTCCCATTGAGTTAAGGACATGAACAGGGCGTATGCCATGGCTTATGCAGCAAGATGATCTGCCTGCGTGCAGCACTTATCCATACTTCCATTCTACGCTACTTCAATATTTTATACGGTGAGGGGATGGATGAACAAGGCCACGAAACAACGAAATCAGTTGTATTAGATCGAATTCCAGAGATTTTGGAGGTTAATCTACATCATCGATTCTGCAGGATCTCAATCCCTTTATGGTTATGCCGTTTGTTTGCAGGTGCGTTGCGTTGCACCATTTTCCCATACCCTTCACGTGGAGCTGTTCAAAATGCACAAAGTGATACGGTTATATGGTATGGGTTGCTGTTGAAGCGGACTGAGCGCCCGATTACAGTACTTCTTGCTTCTGAACTTCATTTCTCCAAGAAGGATGGCAAAGTATGTAACTCATAAATCTTCCTTCTTACAGGTAAAGCTTGACAGAATGCTTGAATTACTTTGCTGGAACTTAGAAAACTCAAACTCACTGCGGATTTCATGTGTGCGTAAGCCGACCAAGGGTGCGTGAGGACTGGTCCTCACGCACCTTTGGTCGGCTGGTCCCCTTTACCGCAGGCACACACAGTCTTTCGCTCCAGTGTTTCATTCGTGGGTATTACCACGTCCCTTAGGCCATGGTTGTATGCGAAATAATCGCTATCTTGCTGCGCAGATATTTTTAATAGCTTCACTTGTTCTACTGCGGCGCTTCTGCTCAAAGTTCAAAAATGCTTGAAATGATGACCTTTAATTTTGAGCGCTTACAAAAATAAGGCCATCTGA